CCCCCCGTGAGATTAACAGACTGTGGCGAGGTAGCACCCTACTGTCTGGGGACTGCCCAGCTTAATGCAGGCGGTATCTACCTAGTGACGTACAATGACTTCTCCCACCATCAGAAGTAGCCCCTGGCATCATGCTCTATACCGATCGAGCAAAGAATTATAACTGGTAACTGCTACTTCCCATGTTATTTCAACACTGTATGCGAAGCTGGAGTGTCTTCTCCAGAGCACGAAGCCTGGGTAAATTAATATGGAGGATAGGCTCTTACCCAAGCAGCAAATCCCTCCTCTCCACATCGCTGAAATAGTCCAATGGAAAGGCAAGAGCCAATACAAGTGCTTCCAGCAATGTTGCAGGAGTTGCCAGAATGACACAAACTGCCTCTGGGACTCCAGCTCCAGATTTTGCCTCAAGGTTAACTCCTGAAGCCTTTTCCATCAGTGGATATAGCCACAAGGCAGTGGAGGTTTGAAATCTGAGCTTTCCTTCTCCTAGATGGGCTGCCTTCCAAGGCTGTTTAGCCCCACCTACCCGGCCTGCTCCCTAATAGTGCTGAAGTTTGATCCTACCCCTAAAACTTTCCTGCCCCCCAGGTGTATACAATGTTATTTGGTTTTCCTATTTAGCAGATTAGAGCAAAAAAAAAAAAAAGAACCAAAGAGATCACAGAGAACAAAGGTCAGCCTAGAGGGAAATACCTCACCAAATAAAATGTCCTCCCAAACACAGCTCACCTCCTGCCTCAGCTTCCTCTTCAGGAAAAGGGCTTGGAGCTACTGCTCACACTCATTTAAAGGTAAAACCCTGTCCCCTCAGACCATGCAGTTTAGGAAAACAAAGGTCAGCCTAGAGGAAAATACCTCACCAAATAAAATGCCCTCCCAAACACAGCTGCGTTCAGGAATCCTCACCTAGTCATAGAGATACATAGGATGCATAAATATAACAGACATGTATTTTCATGCTGGTGCCTGAGAGAGCAGATTTTCATTTATGAAAGCTCACACTGAAATAATGGATAATGTGGCTGAGTGATTAGAGAGGAACCCCCTGAACCTGGTAACCATCACAGGAGGGCACTGAAGTCCTAACTCACTGAGAAAAAGAAAAAAGAGTGGGACTGTCAACCCATTTGGGGACTCCCAAAGGCTTCTGGGGACAAGATTTGCCATTTTCTTCCTCTGGCATTTTTTTTGTCAGTTGGGAACCAGGAAATTGAAAACCATCCAGCAGGTCTGGACATTACATGGGGCATGGAGTGAGAAACAGAGATCATGTTGCTCCTGGGCCATATATTGCCCACCCCTGATTTAAATCATGGTGTTTCTATCCATCTCTGTAACCAAGTCTCCCTTTAGGTTGAAGGAGCAGATGTCAATGCATACAGAGAAAACATTTGGCAACCATAAGAAGGAAAAGAGCAGAACCAACTTACTTTGAATGAACGATAGTGTTCGTTGTTTAGCACAGCCTTCACTCTAGGACTCTCGCCTTCTTCTAGAATATCCTGTATATGTGGGAAGCATTTAGTTAAGCAGTGTGAAACAGATTTCTCCTGTAGAAAAGCTTCCCATGGGAAGTGATTTAATATCCTCATTTTCTAACTTTGATGTGGAGAATCAGTTGCCCTCAAGATGCTTCCAAACTCCTCCTTGATGCCCATTGGTTATGCAAGTTAGAGCTGTTGCCCGTTGGTCCAACGATATTTGGAGGGTCTCAGGTTCCCCTCCCCTACTCTGAAGGGTTAGTTGCTATGCCTTAAGATTCATGCTACAATCTGACAGGTACTGAGAGAAGATTAAGTATCTAGGAATTCATGGGACACACAGAGGACACTGTTGTGATTGTGTTTCTGCATGGGGATTCTTAATGTTACTGAGGTTTCATTATTACAGAGTAAATTAGAAACAGAATGAATAGAAGTTCCACATACATTTTTTCCTATTAAAAAAATGCTCACACAATAAAACAGGGAAAATACCTGTTTCTGAAAAGCACAAGGGTATCATGTTCTTGACTACATCTCCTTAAATGGGGAAATCTTTGAATTGTATTATTTTTTTAAAAAAATTTATTTCCAATCTTGGAGGAGGAACTGCTTGAAAATGTTTCTCCAGAATTCAGGAAAATCTGCACTTAGAGAAACATGCACACAACGTGTTTGCCATTTAAACATAGCAGTAGGAGCAGAACATGGGGAAGGTGCATAATATCAGAGCATTGATTTAATAACTGTAGTAGCCACAGACAATAGTTATGGTTGTGCATTTTATGCTCCTTTTTGTAAGAAATATCAGAGCAAAAACAAGCCATCAAAAATAATAAAATCAACCACACTGCAAAAACATTGAATCCTGCCTTACAAACAGCACTCTTAGACATTGGCTAAGGGAGAGGGGTTTTTTTTAAAGAAAAGTCATGCAAAGCACAACTAACAGAGCCTTCCTTCTTGCAGAAACACACCTGCAAAATGCCACTGAAAAGCAAGTGTAGCAGAGACATGTAATACAGATGAAAACACCATGGCACATGCCAAAGAAAACAGCTCTGCAGCAGAGAGAACAGTTGCTCTACAGTGATGTCTACCTGCTGGGATTGCCCATCTATTCTGTTCTTTCAGACATACCCAACCGTGGATTTCTAATGCCTCTGAAGAGAAAGCAGCAGAAAGAAAATGTAGAAGGAATCCTACTGAATGGGACGTGTTTTTGTTTTTTTGTTTTCTTCAATAGCAATACATGCATGTCTCTTTCTATAAAACTTACCTCAATAACCCCTTTGACGTGTTCTCCTATCCAAGGCAGTCCTTCAATATCATTTATTCTAACTATGGCGAATGGAAGAAACTTCAGTACTGAAGCTGCTCTCCTAAATGCAAGACAAGATCCTTCATCTTCTCTGAACTCATCGTTTTCAGCCAGTATTTCAAAGGCATCCTTTGTATAGTGGAGGAAAAGAAAAAAGGAGAGACAGATTATTTTATTAAAAACATGATACATTCCAGATGTCATTAACAAAGTTTAAAACTTGCAAGCTGGTGCACATCCTTCCAAATCAAGGTAAATATATGAAAGAACAGCTGCTCAACCGCCTGTGACATTTTGCTCATAGGTATGCTTAATAAAGGACTTTTCTTGTGAACATCCAAATGGCTTTTTGACCTATAGATAGGTAACTGGTGGATGAGCATGAATTTTGGAAAGTCTCTGGAGCCTGACAATGTGAAATAGCTTCTGCAATGTTGAGACATCTGCCGAAATCCCCTTTGTCAAACATTCCAAAGCATGAGATCATCGTTTCTCAGAAACAATTGAAAAAGCAGATTGCGGCAGGACTAGCTCCCAAAAACGGAAATAAGCCTGGAGGAGGAGGGAAATGGTGGCAATAGGTAATCTCAGGAGAGTGTTTGTGTGTGCAAGATGCTGTGGTTGCCCTCCAAGCTTTCTCTGTATCAACACAGTATTTGCCGCAAGAACATGTGTGTCTGTTTATTCTAGATTTTGGGCCAGTGTTCACTTCTCCACCACGGGGACTAAAAAGTCTTGTCACTTTCTGTCTAACAAAATTTGACAAGTTAACAATACCTACATCAGCTTCCCTTACAACTGAAGTATAAAAACCCAGATATTAACTCTATGCAGAAGAGAAAACAGCCATCATTCAAAGTGGCCATCTTGATCTAGTACCCTTGCCATCTTGACAGATATGGAGTTGGGGTCACATTAGCCATTACAACATCTAGTTTAAGTCTCAAACTAATTTGAGAACCCGCTTTGGGTCACCAAAATTTAAAGAAAGGGCATAAATGTCAAATTCCTGATTGTTCAAGCTCACTGGACAAAGACAACACACTGTTTTATCCACCAAAAACTATGGCTAAACATTAATTTTGTCAGATGGCACTGGACAAAACATTTCAAAAGTTTTGGGACCAATGAGAAACAACTGTATAATGTGAACATTTAGGACAAATGTTGACATCTGGAAAATTTAGATAGTATGCTGAAATGTTCACCAAATGTTGCAGTAATGTGTGAAGGGCATTTCAAGACCATTTTAAAGAGTAACTTATCATAATATGATCTGTTTCTGATGGGTTGGATCCAGATTTTTTTTTCATGGTTAGAGTAGACCAGCTTATATCAGTGGATCAAGATATTCATAACTGGCTTAAGGCTCATTGATTTTGATGGACAGAATCCTATTAGTAAGTGCTACGGTGTAAATCACAGTGACAAATTGGCACACAGTGGCAAATTGGTGAATTGCCATGGCCTTGAGTTTGCTGAAGACTGGGCCCTTAGAGGATGATCATTCATTGAGTCACCATAGGTTGGAGTCACCTTGAGGGCACATAGTAAGAACAACAATAACAAGAATTAGTTTATTGTTTTTCCTCATCATGCACCAACTCACAAAACTAGTGCACAATGAGGGATACAAGCATTGACTTCTTACCTGGTGGCAATTTGTTGCTGCAATTTATATCACTGCACTTCAATCCTGCGTAACTAGTCAGGATGATTCTGGCCAATGGGTCTCTCTAAGCATGGTTAAGCATGGATTCAACATCACATTTATATCCATCATTATTCTACTATTCTATTTTCACAAAACAAAAACCTGCTTCCTTTGAATGATTAAAATATGACTTCTGAAAGCTGCATTATAAAAACTAGATCAAGACTACAGAGCACTTTGAAAATAAAATGGAAATTTATATTAAAGCTTGTTTCCATCTTTTTCACATGCTTAGTAATAATCAGTTCTCCCCTACACATTTGACACCTGTCTCCCCCACTGTCACAGAGGAATGTGGCAGATGTTTTGCTCAGATACTACGCTATATTTTGGGATTCCTCATCTGCCTCCCTTCAGTTCTTTTGTTTTCAGTCAACCTAGAATAAAGTTGATTTGATTACATTTTGACCAAATACCCAGGTTTGTGACTAGTCTCTCTCTCTCGTTAGACAACACACTGTTTTATCCACCAAAAACTATGGCTAAACATTAATTTTGTCAGATGGCACTGGACAAAACATTTCAAAAGTTTTGGGACCAATGAGAAACAACTGTATAATGTGAACATTTAGGACAAATGTTGACATCTGGAAAATTTAGATAGTATGCTGAAATGTTCACCAAATGTTGCAGTAATGTGTGAAGGGCATTTCAAGACCATTTTAAAGAGTAACTTATCATAATATGATCTGTTTCTGATGGGTTGGATCCAGATTTTTTTTTCATGGTTAGAGTAGACCAGCTTATATCAGTGGATCAAGATATTCATAACTGGCTTAAGGCTCATTGATTTTGATGGACAGAATCCTATTAGTAAGTGCTACGGTGTAAATCACAGTGACAAATTGGCACACAGTGGCAAATTGGTGAATTGCCATGGCCTTGAGTTTGCTGAAGACTGGGCCCTTAGAGGATGATCATTCATAGAGTCACCATAGGTTGGAGTCACCTTGAGGGCACATAGTAAGAACAACAATAACAAGAATTAGTTTATTGTTTTTCCTCATCATGCACCAATTCACAAAACTGGTGTACAATGAGGGATACAAGCACTGACTTCTTAACCAGTGGCAATTTGCTGCTGCAATTTATATCACTGCACTTCAATCCTGCGTAACTAGTCAGGATGATTCTGGCCAATGGGTCTCTCTAAGCATGGTTAAGCATGGATTCAACATCACATTTATATCCATCATTATTCTACTATTCTATTTTCACAAAACAAAAACCTGCTTCCTTTGAATGATTAAAATATGACTTCTGAAAGCTGCATTATAAAAACTAGATCAAGACTACAGAGCACTTTGAAAATAAAATGGAAATTTATATTAAAGCTTGTTTCCATCTTTTTCACATGCTTAGTAATAATCAGTTCTCCCCTACACATTTGACACCTGTCTCCCCCACTGTCACAGAGGAATGTGGCAGATGTTTTGCTCAGAGACTACGCTATATTTTGGGATTCCTCATCTGCCTCCCTTCAGTTCTTTTGTTTTCAGTCAACCTAGAATAAAGTTGATTTGATTACATTTTGACCAAATACCCAGGTTTGTGACTAGTCTCTCTCTCTCGTTTTCTCTCTCTCTCTTTTTATTTCTCTCCATACCAACATTTTGCCATTTATAAAATATCTTTTAAGAAATGCATAATTGCAATACCAGTTTGCTTTTGGTTGGGTTGAGTTTTGCAGGTGACCTTCTTAATGGGAAAATAGATCAGAAATGACCACCTCTCCTTGTCTTACCCACTTGAAGAAGCAAACATTTTCCCCCAAATGCCAATACCAGCAGCAGTAACTGGGAAGTATGCCCAAGGACATTCATTCTTGCTGCATCTGAATTTACAAAATGCTCATTACCAGCTGTTGCTAAAACTACTGACTCCCCTTCTGCCAGCTTTGATCTATCCATTAGTTCCAGCAGTGGATCTTCCCCTCTTTAGTAAACAGGTAGATAATCCCTCCCTTTCCTCACCCATTGTATCACTTGTTTTAAGGCACTGAGAGAAGCAAGCATTTGTTGATAATTTTACTATCTCCTGGGATTAGGACCACTAACTAGGCAAAGGGGGAAACATAGGCTAGCCATTAAACATACTTTGCAGCTAGTTGCTAAAGTGTATGTACAGGCACACCCAAGCATGCACATTGTAGGTACACAGTAGTGCAACTATGCTATTCTGGAGCACAGCAAATCAACATTCTAAAAGGCTATTCTAAAAATAGGGGCGCTCAAACAAAAAATTACAAATTTGAAATTGGACTATAGGTCAGCACCATTTGTAGCAGACATACTGCTCTTGCTGGGTGCCAAATTTTAGGATATTTGGGCAAAGGGTTTTCAAATTATGATTTTTTAAAAGTAAAACTGTTTTCCCCCGTTCAGAAATAGGTGCCCTAAATGATCCCAGATTTAAAATAATTCATACAAATTGAAAAGACTAATCTTACTTATCTTGAAAGAGAATGGTTCGCTCCACCCATTTTTATTTGCAGAGACTCCACGCTGCAGGGACTGAAATACTGATCCTCAAAAGAGATCTTTCAAATGAGGAAAAACCAGGACTTATAAACTGATACAAAGTATTGTTTGGACAATGGGGAATTATAAGTCAACAAAAGTTCACAGCTATTATGAAAGGAGGGAAAAACAGGTTTGCTTTAAAGAAAGTAAAGGCTGACATTTTCCCATGTATCTCTAGGGAATTAGCATATAATTTGTAAGGCACATTCAAAGTATTTTGGCATTACAAAAGCACAGAGCATTTCTGCTTCTCCCTGCCCTGACTGCTTTCAGTAAATATGTTGTCAGTATTTCTGGAACCAGGGTCCCAACACAAATCTTCAAAGGGAAAATCATTTTCGAGGTCTGGAGCAATCTCAACTTCTCACTGACTTTCAGGCACAGAACTTTATAACTCCTTCTTGACTAAATAGGCATTCATGCTGGCAAAGAGATCCTGTATCTTCTTGTAAATATATTTTAAAAGATATTTTTGAAAGAATAAAGAAAAAAAATCTTCAGAAGTTTGTCAAGGATAATTTCCACACTGAGGCAGAACAAGACCTATAATAATCAGCAGCCATACTTGACAGGTGTGCAAAATGCTGAATCATGCAGTCTGGGATGATGCAATGTCCACAGTGATTCACTGTATGTAAATATGCATGTGTATAACTGTGTGGACATGTGGAGAAGATATAGGATCTCTTCTAATGAATGGCATGCTGTCATGCTGCCGATTTGTACTGCTGAACTTCTGTATATACTGTAAATACACTTGGTGTCGGAAGAAGCTGTATTTGTCTGTGTAATTCAACTGGACTGCCTGGATTGAACAAAAACTCTGCTAACTTACACCAGCAAAGTTCACTCATTTAAACTGTGAAATTTCTGTTTTTCGCTTTGTGGCTGGG